CAGAATCAGTCTAGGCATTTTTTTTCTTCTGCCTAAAGAGCTTTGGCTTCCACTGATGAAAGCAGCGTACAAAGGTGAAGTATTTTGACTGCCTTGTGGTACTGTTTGTCATAGCTTTTGGCCAAGCGAGGTGTTTTTGAGGCATGGGAAAGAGAAACTTTACTATCAGAATGTATTAATTTATGTATATTGAAAGGATAACCACACTTTCAGGAACATTTGAACATTTTTATTTAAATAAGGTAAGCTCATGTCTTAAGTGTGAAAATATCAGGTAGTTTGTGACATAAGAGTATTACAAAGGCAAATGGAGAACAGTGGATGCATAAAGATGGTTTTCCTTAGACAGCAGCTTTGAGGCACGTGTAGCAAAATTAACCTGTTCAACTTAGAGGTTTTCCTTTTAACAATTTTTGCTTGCAAAACAATGCAGAATTTATGGTAGTAAATTACAAAGTCGTTTCTCTGACCACAACTGTGCACATACATAACCAGTCAAATTTTTCAGGCCATGGTGTATATTGTATTCATCTAGTATATTACAAAAATGTCCATCACACTGTTTACAGTTCAGAATCTAGATATTGTTCTCAAAAGCTATCCTTACCTTGCAGTAAGTTTTGTAGGCTAAAACATTATTACAACGTTCAATAATGTGTTCAAACTCTTTATAACAGTTGGACATTTAATTGGATACTGTGTCCTCAGATTTAATGCAAACAAAGATCTGTGAGAAACCAGAATTGCAACATACTTGTTATAGTAGATGTTGACTTTGGATCTTAGCCGTTCAGTTTATTGCTTGCGTATTGTAGCAAAATGGAATAAACTTTTTAAATTTTATTTGTTTATGACATTCTATCTGGAGAATGTTATAATAAAACATTTTAGGAGCATGTCTTTCCAAATAAAAATATGACCAAGTAAATATGAACAGATGTCTTGTGCATTTTAACTCAATTTTTAGAAAACCTTTGATTTCAGTCAGGACAACATGAGCATTAGTTCATCTTAGTTGAACAAAAATGCTTTTAAAAGTGTGCTTAATTGATTATAAAATCACTTATGAACAGACAAATGTATTGAAGGTTTGTCAGCTACTAGGGTGTACTTGCAGCTGTGTGTCATGAAGAACATGACACATGGAATAGCTGAGGGTAAGAGAGGGAAGGATTTTTCATGAGTTTTGCATCCTGAAGATGATTTTTAAAGATTACCCAGTGCCTTTAGACTCAGCCCAGCACAAGGCATGTTGTGTGAGATGCCCGGGCCAAGGAAGCAGATGACAGAGGCACTGTGATGTAGATACTTTTTGTAGGAATGCCCCCATCTTCTTTTTTCCCTTCTGTTCTTCATTATTCAGAGTTGGTTTGAAATAATCCTTTCAGAAGCATAAGATGTTTTCTTTACTTTTCCTTCCATTTTTTTTTCTCTTGATGTGTGTGATTTATGGCTTTATTGATAGAAAATTAATGCTATTTATAGTACTGTGTGAAGCATGTAGGATTGCATCCAGCTACAGAAACAGACACAGAGGCAAGGATTTACTCTTTTAACACAGTTTATTCCATATTATTCTTTCAGTGACACACAAAAAGGAACAATGCAGAAAAACAGACTTATTAGGGTTTCAGTCCAGTTTGTCCCTTGTTCTGCAGGTGAGCCCAGAGCAGGGAACTGAGGAGTCCACCTTACTCAGTCCTACTTTAGGGAACTAGAGGAGTCTCCAGCTTGCTCCTGCTTGTCCCTAGCAAAGAGTTTAGAGCAGGGCTACCATCCATCCTGCCTGTATCTCTTGCTCAGATTCCTGGGGGTCAGGGAGGATCAAAGGAGACACAGCAGAAATCAGTATTGCCTTGATACATGCTATTTCATGGCAATTTTTATCTACTGAGTTGGCCGAGATCTGGATTCTCCCCTGCAAAAGCAGGTCCCTGTGCTTCCCTGGTCCTTCCCTGGTCCCTGGCACAGTGTGGTAAGCACTCCTTGACACTCTCTCAGGCTCATGATGGCACTTGCTGGCGTTGCCTCACTGTGTGTGCCCTGGACTGTGCAGCTTTTTGGTAGGGTGATGCTGACAGAAGGTAAGAAGCATTTCAATTTACATCTTTCTGTGTGAGTATACTGCATAGTCCAGTCGTACTGAGAATAAAAAGGTCATTCTTGTTCAGTTAAATGCATTTTATGTTCTGATTACCTGGCCAGAATGAAGTTTCTCCCTAGCATATTTTTTGAGTCAGGTTCTCACACTGACTTTAAAGCATTTACCTACTGTTGCCTTAGTTTTCCTTTTTACACACTGAGACACAGGCAGAGAAACCCCAGACTTTGCTTGAGGATCTCTGCAATCTGCATTAATACTGATTGCAAAAGGCATTGCATATAAGCTGTGGAAGGGCTATCTGTGAAGCTTTTTAGTTACTATATTTGTCTTGAGCTGTTTGGAGGCTTTCTATCCAACCTTTAACTGAAATTTTTAGTTTTGTTCTCATCAACTTTGGGTACTTCTGAGCACAGGCTGCACTTATAGGTGTTATGAAGGCAGCACTTCAAGAGGAAGCAGTTCCATTTTTTTTCCAAAATCAGGAAGTGACTTTGATGATATTTTTCATGATTTTTTCAGAGTTTAGTTGTTCTTTCTGTATTAACAATAAAAGATCTTTCTAATGATAACTTGCTTAATATGTAATAATAACATTAACATCTATATAGTAGATACTATGCAGTGCGAATAAATGATCTGTCTGAACACAAAAACAACTGGTTTGCTGTTAAAAATCTCTAGAAAATTGAGAAGCTACTGGTGTAAGCCATTGTTGTCTTTCTCAAAAAATCTCCCATATTAGAAGTCTTGGCAGGTACAACCTGAGAATCTCTGCGTCCTAAGAGGTGTGAAATTACCTTTTTTAGCCCAGGACTGCAGTGGGTTTTCACATTTAATTTTGTGTCTAGAAAAGCGTATTTTGATTTCACATTTAATTTTACCCAGCCCAAGCACAGGCAAATTAACTTGCTCAAAAGCAATACAGAGGTCGAGAAAGGAGGAAGAAAGAAAGAGTGTAGCTGTACCTTTAAAGACAGATTGAAAGATAAAATAGCAAGTGTTTGATTTTGGAAACAGCTTACTGTTTACAGTCTTCCGTGCAGTCTGCTGGGAGCAATAAAGTCATTTAGTCATGAGGTTCACACTAACCTCTCCTCTTCTAACTCTTATCATGCTGAGAGCACCTTTGTGACTAAACAGCCCTGACATAGTTTCTGTGTCAAGCTGAGAGATAAGTGTCTGTTATAGTAGGTAATTGCTGATGGGTGCCCCTTCATGGATTAAAAAAGTCTCTTTCTTAAGGAAGCCAATGCATTGTTAGTAACCCTGTCATGTTTCCAGTAGACAACTCATGCATTTAAAAAAAAAAAAGCATTTTTCTTTTAAAGTAAGAGAAATTGAAAGATTAAGAAAGTATCAAAGAAATAAAGCAGCACTTACAATGAGGTGAGTACATAACTCCCCTGCACGGAATAGAGGTGTGCAGTTTTGTTACAAGATCCTGTGAATTTTCTAGTACATTCAAATACATGTGTTTCAGATTACAGGATTATTCTTCATTTCATGTCAGTTATAGAAAATTAAAAGAAACATTGTTCTAGATACTACATATACATATATATTTACTGAATACAATTGAAACATACAGCAAGAGAGATGTAATACCCATGTAGAACTGAATTATTTTCACATAGAGACATGTGAGGACAAAATTATATTAGAACTATGGAAATTAAGGAATTAAGACTGTACAAAGTATATTAAAAAGTACTTTGTCACTCATAACTTCAGAAAATAAAATTAATGTGCTGCATGGACTTTTGTAATTGAAAAGGTAATATGTGGGACTTGGCAAGAAAGCAGGTCAGCAGTTGGTTGATTATGGAACATGATTATTATGCCCATACAATGTGCTGATATTTAATGACCCTTGAAGGTGGATGTTTTGATGACTATATATGGTGCTATTTTCATGATTAAAATTCACTGTACACTAATCACCTTAGACTGTCTTGAAGCTGTGATGCCAAAACCCTAAATGAACAGAAGCAGCACTCCTGTGTGGCAATGCCTCATACTCTTAATTGCAGCTCAGGCACCTCAGTATTTCAGAGCTTTTCCTGTGCATCCTTCTCCCTGTTGATGAGTTCAGAGCTCATGGCAGAACAGCATGCTCCCCTGAAGCAGAACATCTATGAGAAACATCTGTAATTGCCCAGGGTTTTGGGGACACCACCAGTGTGCCCTGACTATTGGTTTGGAACCCCTGCTGCCTGGGGGGAGACTTAACAAAGCTCTTCAGTCTGAGCTTGTTTGCTGCACGATCAGATTCACTGTGCCTGTGACTATCCTCAGTGAGGGATATCTCACTATTTATGTTTTGTTTGTTTGTTTTCGGAAGTGTGCTGCACTTACCTGTGGTAATGAGTCTCCACTGGCAGCATCAGTGGAACTCTAGTGCAAGCAGCATTAAAATGAAGTACTTGTAGAAAGCCTCCCTGCATATGTTCAAGAAGTTCAGCTGTAAGCATCGTAATTGTTATTAATTGCACAGTCCAATCACAGCAGCACATACAGACAGACAAAAGAGTCATTAGCAGAAACTGTAAGAGGGCTCAACACTGTGCTCTTAATCTTACTGTGTTTTCCTGGCCAAGAATTAAAGTAGCTACTTAGAACTTTTCTTCATTTTTCATTCTGTGTTGCATGGGTGTACAGGTAAGAAGTGCTACTTCACAATAAATCAAGGTATAATTATGACAATAATATTTAAAATGCCAGCTTTGTAAAGCCAGGAGTTGCTGGTGTTTCTTTCCACAGTGTTTTACTCTGCAGTGCTCTGTATTCTTGCTGATTCAAGAGATCCCTGTAAAATACAGGAGACCAAATTTTAAACAAGTCTGTTGACAAAAAGCCAAATGGACACTGAGAGATGCACGTCTCTGTAGACTGATGTTTAAGTCATTGTTCTTGGGGGCAGAGCAATGTCTCTTACCCTTCGTGTCAGGCAACAGCAGCACTGGCATTTGGGGTAGCATTTTATACTTTTAATACTTTGGTAGAATGTCTTATTTGCTGCCGTAAAAATGATTGGGTCAAGGCAGCTGTTGATGCTGCAGATGATCTCTGTGACTTTATAAATGGCATTTAATACGCTTATGTTCCCACAGGGTGGTTGACAGTTGATTCTGTAAATCAGTATCACTATCATCATAACATGGTAGGGTATGAAAGAAAGAGCAAATACAGTCATAGTGGCGGAAATCAGTAGCAGAGGTCTGACGAGCCTGTTCCTTCCTGGCTGCCGTTTGCTGAGTTGCAGGAGTGCTTTGAGAGTCAGCATATAGCATGTAAAGATGACTGTGACTGGAATTAGGAATCTCAGGACAATCTTGGAGAGCGTGAATAGCACTGCGAATTGCAAAGGTCCTTCGTTGCCGTCCAGGGAATCTGTGATGTCATAGGGTCTTCTGGCTGCGACTGTGTGGTAGATCTCGGGCATCGACGCGATGACTATGAAGAGCCACACCGCCATGGTACAAACCACAGCCTTTCCTTTGTCCCACCATGCCAACGAAGAGATGGGGTGGACGGCACCTATGTATCTGTCAAAACTGATGAGTGTCAGGAAATAGACGCTTCCATAGATATTAATACTAAAAAATAGTCTTATGATCTGATAAAATGCCTGACTGGGATAGACAGCTAACTTCTGGAAACTATAGTATACTGAAAAAGGTGCCATGAGAGTCCAGGTAAAGTCACACAGTGCCAAATTAAAGAGAAATACTGTATTGCTAGTCCATGTCTTCATGAAGTACACATAATGTCGTAGTGCAAGTATATTGCCTAGAAATCCTACTAATAAAGTGAAAATGCATGTCAGAATCAGCAAGTAACAGTACCACTCTGGCTTAGAATTTCCGTTGCAAATGAAAATAGTGCATGTACCATTCATCATCTTTCCATGAAGTATACCTGAAAGGAAAAGAGAGATCAACAGCTTTTAAAAAAAAAAAAAAAAATTTAAAAATTATTTATATATATTGGACTTAAAATGAAAACTTAAGTTAAATCCAGTATATTTGGACTGGCAAATAAATTCAGAATATGGTATGATGTACAAGCTCTCCTCCATCTGAAAAAAAATCTGAAGTCCAAGTAGCTAACACTTAAAGCTTACTCCACAGGACCAGCACAGGCATATGTTAATGATTTTTATCCAAACCTTTATATCCTGTCCAATATTTATTGTAGTGTATGACAGATGAGAGAAAAAAAATCATGCACCCTCAGCAACAGCAGCATCCTCTTGCCCACTAATGTATCTGTGTCCCTTTTTGGAAGAAGCAGAGGAGAAGGCAGCAGGACAGTGATTTTATCTAACTCTTCATGGCTCTGTTGGTCTCACTCTATGGCCCAGTTTGTATGAGTACCCATTACAGAATATCTGGATATAGAGCTGCAATGTATTTTTCAAAGCAAGGTTTTTATGCTTGTAAAGTCTTACGTTTAATCCCAATGATTTCGTCGTTCTAATAAAAACAAAATAAAGGCTGGGCTATTCTGCCAGAATGAGCTGTCACCAATTGCAGGTTATTATATTTCTAGAACCACTCTCCAAATGATGGAGCAGATGCCAAACTGTAAGGTCTGTCCAAGTAGGAGCTTTGTATGAGGCTCATCCGAACAGCCATTTATAGATCAGAATCTACTACAGTGCTTTACAGGATGACAGGATGCAATTTTATTCAGTACAAACCACGCTTTGAATGAAAGAAAGGGCTTTTTTCAACATGTTATTGATTCCTTAAAAATTTTCAAACAGCTTCAACCATAGTAGTGGGTTTTTTTTTTTTTGAATTTAATATTTTGTTTTCATGTCAGCCTTAGTACAACATGAATTTTCCAAAGCTATTTTCACGGATACTGGTCAAACTATTAATAAACACGAGCTACAATTAAAAGTTGCTAAACAGAGACTACATTATTGTGCTTTGCAAATGTTCACCCAGGCAGTGAACTGACAAAAAGCTAGTTCAGGCTGTACTCAACAAAATTAGGAAGGCAAGTTGTTTCTCTAGAAGCTCATCAACAAAAGCAGTCAAATGACTTTCCAGAAATCGAATATGGTTAGAAAGCCATCTGTTCTACTCACAGTTTATTTCACAGGTGGGGAGAATGTTTGCTCACTAAATGTATTTTGTTAAATATTGAAGCACTGTACTTTAACCTAGGGTAGCTGTACTGATTCTCTTTCCCTACTCTCCTCCATAGCCTTTGTGAATATAAAAAATTGTACAGACTTTGTGGAATATTTTTCTTCAGCTGAATTTCATTAAATAGCCCTGTAAGTCCTTTAAACTGTAGCCTCTCTAATAGGTACAATGCAGTTATATTACAATGTATTAAATTAAAAGGGCGTTGAATATGTTTGGCAAGTTATCTCTTCCTAAAATGCTCTTGGCTAGAGGTCACGTGTGCTTTTAATTGATTTGTATTTCCTACCTCTCTGCTTTCTTTTTCAATAATTACAAATGAAGGCACTAAGCACTTGATTCCAAGTTGTGTTGGCAGTATGAATGAGCCCTGAAGCGGCTACAAACGCTGCAGCCATTGCTGAATGAGGGAATTGTAGTGCCAGGTTCCTGGTCTCATCAAGCTCCTGGAAGGCGACTATAGATAGGTGTAAATAGAGGCAGAGGGGCAACTGTGCCAGGTGCCCCACCTTGCTGCAGGTTGGCTGCATAAAGCCTGGATATGTAGGTTTGTAACTGCATTAGGGCAGTTACAAGCCTGAACTGATAAATCCCCTGTGCCCGTCATCACCTTCAGAGTACTGGACTGCGCTCGGGGCTGAGCTACATGAAGCTAGTTATGTAGCTGGAAGGGCTGGAGCTGCAGAGCTGGGAAAGGTGGATCTGGAGCTCAGAGAGTCATTAGAAAATACGTCTGTGTTTGTGTAGACATTTCCCATGTGTCCACCTTGAAATTCATATTTGAGTTGTCTAAAATATTCTTACTGTCTCCTATTAATTCTTTGTATTATGGTAGAGCTTAGAGGCTGTAACCACGGCTAGATTTTTGAAACTCTGCTTTACAACTAGATGCGAGTGACTTACAGGGTGGACATGGGAGCAGGTACAGGGGTAGAAAGAACCTTTCCTGAGGCAATGTAATAAGCAAGAGAAGAATACAAGGAGTTCAATCCTCAGCTTCGTTCTCTAACTAGAGCTCCTGGTCTTCCATCAGAAGGACATGAATCCTTGCACAGTCGGGACCCAGTTTCATTGCATGCAGGAAGACAGTCAGCATGCCCTGCTAGATCCCGAGGCCATTGGAGCCACCTGGATGTCTGGTAGAGCTCCATAGCTGCTGAAATGATTTTCAGAAGTGACGTGTTTTTAGATCAGACAGTGGTGAATTTTCTGTCTTACCATCTTTGCACCAACAGAGTAAATCAAGCTACGGGATGTAACTAGATCATCTTCACAATGGCCAAAATTTTGCATTTGTAGTTTAAAATAACTTTATTTTTCTGAACACTTCTGTGTTCAGTTCCTAGTCCATGTATTCTTAAAGTCAGCCAACACACATACACACATCTTAACAAAGGCAGAATGAGCAACAGCACCATGACATTATGCTGTGACAGATGAGTAGTTGCAAATAGTTTTAAGGCTGACCAAGAACAGACTTGCCAGACTTAGATGAAAGTAGGATTGGGTTTTCAAGGATAAAAAATACTTCAAATTTATTGAAATTAGTTTTTCAGCTGAACAATGTCAGCCACTGATGGCCATGGCCATCAACATTAGATGGACAGAAAGAGCAATCACATGATGGGGCGTCCGGAATTAAAGGTATACCTCTGATTGAATGAAAGGCTTGATGTTGGAATATTGCATGTATGTCCAGGAAAGGGTTCAGTTTTACAGGCTCCGTTACTCATAATGAAGGCAAGAAAGCATGCTACATTAATGGGTAAGAATTCTGTGTTTCTCTTGTTTCTGCTTCTGCAGCCTAATGAATCCAGCCATCTTATGGTCTGTAGATCTAAAGTTGCTAGAAAAGCTTTAGTTTTTTAAAAAATTACCCATTTGATTGACTCAGTTTTTGTAACTGGCTATTGATTTGTCTCTTCTCCTGGACCTGAAGGACATATGGCTTAGATCTGTGACTCTCTGACAGGGAATACCTACAAGCTCCTCTGTCACTGTCCCTGGCAGCACCTGCACACTATTACAGAAAGTCAAGTGGGTTTCACCTGATGAGCTTATTTGCTGCCTGGTTTGTTGTAGGGCTGGACATCCTGAAGTCTCTGCTCCCTTGTGTTCTCCTTGCACCTGTGATGTGGCCACCAAAGTCTCGGAGTAGATAGCAGACTTTGTTTCAGTAAAAAATTACTTTTTGAGGAAACTGCTGTTGGAGTTAAGAAACGCTGTGTCACCAAAAAGAATCTTGTTTTGTATATCCCTGGTAGATATTCACATGGCATTTGATTTGCATTTGCAAAGTTCCATTAGGTTTAGCGCATTTGTTTATTTTAAAAAAAAATCTAATTTTGTATGTGTAAATATATTCTAGGAAACATATTATTCCCTGTCATGGCTGTGGGGTTTATTTTTACATTGTTAACGAGGTCAGAATAAGCAATTAATTTGGCTTGAATTAAAAAAAACAACAACAACAACAAACAAACCAAAAAACCAAACCGAAACCAAAACACCAAAACCCTGAGTTAACAGCTTACATTATGTAATTTTATTCCTTATCTACTCTCTTTGCCCCTTGCCCCTTTTTGCTTGTTATTCTTTATAGCAGAAGCTTTAATTTTACATGAACTGTTTTATTTGTTGTCTGAGAATTTTGCTTTTCCATTTGCAACTGTATTTTAATGCCCTACAAATCTATTCCACTTACTAGATAGGTTTTCCAAATTTCTGACTACTTCTGACTATTCAGACACCAATATACTTCCATAAGTGCTCTCAAAACGTAGTCTTTTAGCTCATTTCATCAAATTAATAAAGCATTATACAGCGAGTTCTAGGTTTTGTTTTAAAAATATCAAGCATTATTTGCAATTTTTACTTTAATACCTTACTTTTTTGGTAGTCATCTCATGCATCCCCTTTATACATTCAAATGAATTGATATGAAAGGATATATCATGCAATATGAGAATTAAATAAAACATTTCACATATTTAAGTTCACCTGCATTTGGCATATTACACCTACTAATATGATGGGAACAATAAGTACTATACAGCGGTATTTGTATGCACTTAGGTAAGTAGGTTGTGCTGATATCCAATTTCTTCGTAATGACTCAATTGGTATTATTATTAAGCTGCTCTCTTTCATTAAAAAATGATGCTCACGTACTTGCTTGAGAGTTAATGAAGTCCTATATGGCAAACGTAGCCTATGGTAGAAGGATAGTTAAGGTGTAAGAATTTGCCTACCAAAGACAGTTATTTGTGAAAAAGTACTTTTAAGAATCTGGAATATATACATATATGTATGTATTAATCAGTGTGTAATAGCTAAATAGGAAAAATAATATTGCTTTGGAGAATACAGCTGCAATGAATACTTAATAAATCTCTTACCCGTTTTAGAAAGGTTGGAGTTGTCTACTTTACAGAAGTCTAGCTGCCCGGCTGTGCTTTTCCTCTCCATTGATCTGGAACTTCTCAAATCACAACTCTGTTTTGTGAGTGCTGCTTTCAATCCACGATGCCAGTAGTATTCCATGTGCAATGGCAACTCTTTAGAGAGTAGATCTCAAACTGCAAGGGAAGTATATTTTATCATTAAGCCCCTCCTCTCAGTAATTCAGGATAAATGGCTATTGCCATAGCAGCCTCTGCTTGCTTTTCAGGGAAGGACAGACTTCCTGCACATCCTCAGTCTAGCTAGGCCTGGGGCTGTCGTTTGCAGCAGTGAAAGATGAGAACTCGAGTACAGGGGCTTGGGGCATGCACATGTGTGTTTGCACTTTCCTTTCTTCCCCCTGCTTCACTGACAGAATCTCTGTAATTGCTGCCCTAGTACTGGACTGCTCTGTGCACCTAGGTTTTTCTTGCTCTGTCGCAGAGCTTGGCCCACCCCATCTACCCACCCATCGCTTCTGCCATGGATGTTAAAAAATCCACCTGGTTTTAGAAAAGAAGAATCTTATCTGTAAAAGCATAGACTATCTCTGGTAACCTGTGATAAAACAAGGATGCTGTTAGTTACAGGGGCATGCAAGTATGATAGATGGTGAACTACACAAATCAGTAGAGGTAAAAGGAGAGCTGGTAGAGGAGCTCGCAAAAGGAGGTGAGGATGTCAAGAAGATTATGAACAACTGGACTGAGGTGTGTGACACTCACCCGGGTGAGGAAGAAGTTGTATGGCTGAACTTTAAGAAAGTGGTCGTTAGAAGTTCTGGCAGAACAGCTCAAGATGCTGTACCAGACTTGTAGAAGCCCAGGAGAAAAAAAAAACTGTAGACAGTGAATAAACAGTATGCCTAAAGATATTAGAGTTGAAAGACAAATGGTGATAGAGTATTCTTGCAGAAGCAAGTATAGAGGCTATTGTGATGTGTTTGTTTTAGGAAAGAAGAGGGCTGGACAAGATGGAGAGATTCAGAAGAGTAAAAGAATTGTAAGAGTAAGCTTGAAGAAGATCTGGAAATTAGAATGAAATTGCATGACCAGGTGAAAAGAGTAAAGGACTAGAGGAAACAGAGGGGAGAAACTCCTGTGTTTATGATCATTGAGAAGGACAAAGAGAAAAAGATAGCAGGAGAAGACAGAGAATGAAAACTAGTCCAGGAAAAGTATTTCTGAAGAAAATATGACAAAAGTTTCACCCACCACCAATAGTGAGAGTAAGGACAGCTTCTTTTCAGGTGACACAAGACATATACTATTCTTTGAAAAAAAGGCATTCTCTGCAGAACAAACACATCACATGATTAAAGTGCTTACGTCTAAGAAAAAAACACAGTACAAATTTCTGCACAAAGTCATAATTTGATTTCCTAATGAGATTAGTGTAGCAATTAATGTATGTCAGGGGACATACTTCTAATACTTCACACAAGAAAAGCTTTCTTCGACATGAAAAGGAAAATGACACATGAATCAGTAACCTTTTTTTAGCATTTGAAATTAATTGTGAGGGTCTGTTATCTTACTCAGCATCCTTTAAAAAATACCATTATTACTAAGTTATTGTTGCATGTTATTTTTTTTTCTTTTGTACTTCATATTCAATGTGTAACATTTCAAAATAAGATGCAGAAAAAATGTACATAAGGAACTAAGATTTTTCTTTATGTAGGAATGGTGAAAACATAGTAAGATTGTAGTAGGTTATTTTGTAATATTTCAGTGGGGCATTACAACTCAGAATACAACAAATTTTAGCTTAATAAAGTGCTCTGTAGTTGGTCAGTCTTTCTGATGTTACTTTAATTGTAAAAATGATCACTGCAGAAACTATATTGCTCTTTAAACATGCTGAATATTATCTGTTGGTACAAGGCCCTTTTGAAGTCCTGTCTGGGATGTTAAGTGTTGTACTTGCTGTGAGTCAAGCTCTGAAAAGATATTTCTACACCTTGCCACCATCATTCAGTCACTCCTATTTAGGTAGTAAATCACTCCAAGTGAATAGCCTTTGAAAAAGCAGGAACCATTGAAACCAAGTATAACTACAAAAAGCAGGATGGGGATGAGAGTTGTACTGCAGTGAGACTTGAGGATAGGACATTAAAATCAGTCTAGCTTTGACAAACTTGTAATATTATATTTTTGAAATGGCAGGAACATTACCATGAGGAACGGTCATCATTCAAAGACTCTAGGGAATGTTTGGTTCTCTGTGATGTGGTAACACATTTGGTGTACATACCCGACTAGGAAATGTGTACTAATTACATCATAAGTATGACTGAAAGCTCTGTTCTCTTTTGTGTTGTGATTTTTTTTATGTTACCACTTATAGGCTTAATCAGTTTGTGGCCTTGTTGTGGTATCATGTAGTAATTCTCACTGTAAGAAAGAGAGTAATATTATACTTTACCTTTGTGACTTGAGTGTAGTCTAAATTATTTGCCCATAATGCCACTGGAGGTTTCTTGTAGAATTTGAAACCGATTCAAAGTTGCCTGGCACGTGCCCACCACATATCACACCTTTGGGTAAGGTCATGCCACCCCCGCAGTTATTAAAATCTAAAACTTTAGTGAGTTCCCTGTGTTGGCACTAAATGACTGGCAGACAAGAACATGTGGCAGCGTTCTGTGACCTCACAAAACAGAGAAGCCATGAGTTGACAGAGTATTGTTACCAAAGTTTTACTGAGAGGAAGAGTGATTATTTACTTATGTATTTTTTTAGACATGTACATGTTACTGTGGGTTTTTTTCTGTACTTTTGGGCTTAAGCAAGAGTGACCTTTGACTCAGGGGGTGGCTTTTCCTCTAATACATGGAGTTTCATTCTAGTCCAGGCAATTTCTTTCATCCTCAACTAGACCTGAAATCACCTTCTCAGGAAAGCAAATAATCTCCTTTTCTCATGAGCTCAAATGTCCCAAATCCTGAATTCTATTCTGTGTTTGTGTTTTCACAAACTACACAAGCACATATGATGAGATTGCTCTTATCATCATATGATGTTTACGTGATGCTGTCTATTGTCAGTGGAAAGAGACAGGCAACTATCAAGATCTAATGACTCTTTTGTTATTGATCAAGAAATAACTGGCAGCAAATAAGGGATCTCACACAGGCTGAGGTACTTACAACATTCCAAAATTTATAAATAGACTTGTTCCTCAAAACATAGCTCAAATGCCAATAAAAAGTAACTATTGCCTGGAGGTCTAGATGAATTCCATGAGATCTTCTCTGCTGTGGCATTTGTTTTTGGAGAGTTAGGATATAAATTTCTAGAAAATGTGATTATTTAGGCAGTTGTCTTTCCAGTCCATCACTCCTTCCCATTTTTGCACCAGTACTGCTCACTGATCTTCAGACTCAGCAGGTTGATGGAACTAAATGAAAGAAAAAAAAAAAAACGTGGTGTGTTTTTTTTTTTTTTTCCCTAGTTGGGTTAGTTCCCCACTTGTTCACTTGTGCATGGCTGCTCATCTTGCTGTGCTAACCTGAGAGCAGAGCAAGTAGAGATATTAATAGGTGAAATAGGAAAACATCAAAACCTGCTTAGCCAGCATGCAGAATCACATGTAGTGTATGTAAAACCACAGTCACATTTTGATCAGGTACTACAGACCTGATGTGGACTCCTTCAGACCTCATCCTCCTCCGTGATTCTGTTTGTAAGAGCCCAAAATAGTTTTCATCAGTTGGTGAGAAGCTAACTTGTAATTTTGTGGTAATAGTATCTCTTCGTGCCTAACTACAGAAGAGTAGTTTGGCTGCATGATGCTAAATCTGCCCTCCACACACACAGTGGAATATCTGTGTATTAGAAGAAATACAGTTTAGTACTCTTATTTTGGTTTTGTTGTCATGTAAACATGTATTTACTGACTGACTAAAATATGCTTTCTCATAATATTCATACCACAGGTCAGTTGCTCCGTCTGAAAATGTTTCGAGAGGACCACGGGTCTTGGATGACAATGTTCTTCAGTACCATCCTCTTCCTCTTCATTTTTTCTCACATTTATAATCTGTTCCTCATTATGGCAGGGAATATGAGGTAGGTTACAGAGTTTCTCTTTAAAGTCTTTTTTGCTCTAGAAAATGTTCTGCTGGAAACCTTTCATATTATATTGCTTTACAGTGAGCAAGAGCTTACTAAAATTTAAGCATACTAGTATTCACTATCTTTTTTTATTCCTCTGCTTTCTGAATTTAGGTAGAAATTTACTTGGTTAATTAGCCCAAAAGTGGGGTCCTAGAGTGATGACAGCAACTATTACACCAGGATACTAATGATCATTATATCTGTTTTTTAAATTTAGAATTATAGCATAATAAATTTGCTTTGAAGTTAGGGCAGAGTAGTTTCTAATGAAAGTATGAGCATCGCTATTGTGAATACTCAGGAAAATCAGAGCTTAAAGAAACTGAAACACTGAAATTTCAGGAAGCTCACACTCAAACCACAAATATGAAATGTGTAATACAGTGATGTTTTGGTTACATACCATAATATTTGCTGATTCAGTTTGTTAAAAATATTCTTTAAAACTGTATTTTTTTTTCCCTATAAGGTGCTCTGACAGCGCAAATTTATGATTGGCTGAGGGATGTCTTTTTATTATATCTGGATTTGTTTTAAGTGGTGCTTTTTATGTACTTTTCTGGCTTAAGAAGACTTGTTTTCTCAAAATTAACACCCCTTTCACATGTTGATTTTCCTGGGAAAATCTACATTATTAGTCATCTAATACATACAAAATGACTCCATTGGACAAAAACACGCAGTCCTGTTGTTTATGATAAACAGGATAGTATCTGAAGAGATTCTAGCATGGAATAAGAACCACAATGTATATATGAGTTGAGGAACTGTGCAAATGGTTGAATGACTTGTTCTTAGCAGAGTATCAGAGCCATACCAACAGAGTCCAGTGAAGACTTATTTAATGGGTACTAATGTGGTGTGTTACGTATCTAAGTGTGTCAACAAAAGTATGCAGTGTATAAAGTCCTGTTCCAATGTGACATAAACCAAAAGGTGAGTAGGAGGCAGCCTGGGTGTCACTGAATGAATGTAAGCACAGACCAGCTGGCCTAATCATGAGATTGTAGCATGAAGACTAAATGTATTGATTTGAGCAAGGCAGGTAAATCAGCAGAATCACCAAGTATTTTAGGAAACAATCATGCTAACAGTGTGCTAAATATGAATAGGTGCCCCAGAAGAGGCAGAATAATCATCCCTGAAATAAGGAGAGTGGGAGCATTGCAGGTTTCTGGTTTCCCTCCTTACACAGTCCTACTGTTACCGGTATTATGTTAGGATTTATATCTGGTATTTCTAGTGCTCCAGAAACTATAACTAGCTGTTAGACAAAGCATTAATGATTTTGAAAGATTGACTCATGTCTGGAAATCAGAGTTCATTTGTCCTGTCAACATTCCTGCTCTTCATATCTGTTACAAGCTTCCATTAGCTGCACTGAAGAGATTGCATGGCAATCAGCACCCACATCCATGGAAGTAGGCACAGCCTTGTACTAAAATAGCTGGTGTCAATCAGCTGACCCTCTTGCTTTCTGTGGGATTAAGCCTCTCCTTTCCTGGAACTTATGCTCGAGCCCTAGATTTGTTGTAATTATTTTGGGAAGCTGACCATTCTGTGCTCAAGGAATAACACTGCCTTTTTTGAAGTGGACTGAAGGCTTGATAAGCTGGTTTGGATGTCTGTGCCAGCAAAACGGCAGCAAGTGAAACAGAACAGTTTCAGTCTCAAACTGCATGATATAAACCATCTCTCAAAGCCCTTAGATCAGTCCTTTCAAAGCTGAGGTAGAACAATGTGTAGTACTTTTCAAAAGAGGATTTCTACACATCAAAGCCAACTACTTCATGTTGCCATAATAAAGTGTTTCAAGGAGTGGCTTATTTTTTCCTGAGTAAATGTAATCCTTAGGAAAGCTATTTGCTTTGTCGTTTATACTTCTGTGCAAAAGAACACTTCCGTCTATGTCATTTGCCACAGTGCCTTACCAAAATGACTGACACTGGAGAGACTGGCTTCTGTGATTAAGGTCAGAGTCTGCTTGCATGGAGGTTACAGTCTTCGTAGAGACAAACTGACCTTTGTGCCTCTGGGCTCCTATGAAACACAAGCATCCAGAATACACATCTTTCCAATATAAAGGCTACAAAACCCTTAACTTACTCTTCACAAGAAAGTGAAAAAGTTTTTTTTGTTTTTTTTTATATGTGTGTGCTCCTTGCCCTGTGTCTGATTTCAGCTTGCCCTGTGTGCTGTCATCTGACAAGTTTCTTTATGTCAGATGTTGGGTCTAATCAATGACAATCCCTTTGTGGCTCATGAGTAGGAGAATCATATGTCTTGCATGTGAACACCAGTGTGAGTGATTGTACCAGAAGCAGTATCCTGTCAAGGGCTTGAGAAACCTGTGCCAGGAGTGCATTAAAGCTCTGTCATCTTACCATCTCTAAGAAGGTATATTTTACAGTTGCCAAGATTTGAAGTTTTTTAGAAGTATTTTTAAAGACAATTCACATGCGTCTTAGTGTGGCAAATATAAAAAGATTGAATGTATCTTTTTAAAAGGGGTAGCAGTAGGGAGTGTAGTTGGCTGAGAAGAGCAACAGCTGAACAAGTTGCTGGTCTTTATATATTATAGAGCTGGTTGCTGGATGAAATTGTGACTATTTGAACTGAAAGTTTTGTGACAGATGGTAATGTATCTTTTTAAATTTTAAGTTCATCTTTTTTTTCAGTGACATTTTCTTTTAGGGACTTCACAGTTTATGGCATTGACCCCCTGTACATTAGGTTATTGCTCTGGTAGTCAGAGCTAAACATCTGGTGAGGAAACATGTCTGAAAAGATGTCAGAGAATGGTCTGCGGCTATTATTTCTTACTGCTTTTCATCCCTGAAAACTGTACGCAGAGGCCAAGCTGGGCAAGGGCCCATGTCAGGTGCGGTTTGTGGAACCATCTGAAGGCCCAGCAGGGTTGAGGCACAGGCTTCAGGAACTAGGTGTTTGGTCTAGCTGGTCTTTCTCAACAAGAAAGATGTGTAATGGAGAGGATAAATGTGAAAATGATCCAGAGTCAGGAAAGGTTCAGCTATTATTCATGTTTAGGTTTAGGATTACGTTTAGGTTTAGGTTTAGGGGACACCTGGGGAGTGTAGAAGGATGGTTGATCAGAACAGAGCAGTATCCCTTAGGGAGCAGGCCTGATCAAGGCTGCTGTGAAAATAACACAGAAAAAGGTGTTCCTGTGAAAATCAGAGTAACCTTAAGTGTGCTTTATGCTCAAATAAGTAGGGATTTACTTTGGGATAGTTTTAATACTTGGAAAACAATAAAACAGTTGTGGAGGGGCAGAAAAAAATACCTTATATGATGCCAAGGGCTGAACTGTGGGGTAGGAATGAAGCCATTGAATTTCGTCTGCAATTTAGAATTTTAAGTTTTTGAAGTAGCAAGAAAGGCACTGCTGATTACATCTGCCGATCACATCTTCTCAATGGGTGGCTGTCTTTGTTAGCCAGTGATACGGTACATTGTGAGAGGCACTCTTGATACAACCCGATGTGACGTACACTGGCCCGGGGATCTGCTGTTGATGCTGTGAGTCTTGTGGCGGTTTTGTGCCCAAGAGCAGAAGTACTACGTCTGCCACGTTGCAGTCCATCACACTTGTGCAAAATGGTCCATCACATGTTTTCACAACAGCCCTCTGCACAGTTAGCCCAGGCAATGCTATATAGAACTTAGGTAGATAAATTAACTGTCTAGCAATTTCTGTGTAGTTCCAGTGAGCACACTGAAGCTTTCTGCCCTCTTGCAGAAGATGCCTGGAAGGCTTCTCTCACAGTGGAACATGAGATACTTGTCTCACACTTTGTCTCCTATACTTAGCCATTTCTGATTGCTATTCTGGAGCTTGAGTTGTAAGATTGAACAATGTATATCAGGATTTCATTAAGAATTAATGGTTGTAATGTGCTGGTAAGATCTGTTAGGATTTTGAAAATGACAACTTTAGAACAATCTCGGCTTTCAAAGCACATTCAGGTCTGTCTCAGTTAAAAAGCCAAAAGCAGTGTAAAGACAGTAGTTCCCTCCTCAACATTTTGTTATCTCATGTGTGGTAGAGTGACCAAACCTGTAGATGTTTCCAGTGTCCTCTTTAAGCACATGCTCACAGCCATTGCAGCATCGTTATGATCTACATCATCATTATGATCAGCATCACTGTGATCTGCTCTATGATGCCGTACCATATGTCCCCATTCCCAATGGCATCCTGCATGCTGCAGGGCATGCTGGTGTGCAGCTCCAGTGTGGTTTCACAGGAAAGGATTTTTTTTTTCTCCCTATTAAAGGCTCATATAAATATGCTTAGTATAAATCTGCTGTGCAGGTGTCTATGGAAAAACTGCCTGGAAGAAAAGGACCTGGGGGTGTTGTTGGATAGCTGACTGAACATGAGCCAGCAGTGGGCCCAGGTGGCCAAAAAGGCCAATGGCATCCTGGCCTGTATCAGAAGTGGTGTGACCAGCAGGAGTAGGAAGATGATCGTGCCCCTGGACTCAGCACTACTGAGACTGCAGCTTGAATGCTGTGTCCAGTTTTGGGCACCACAGGATAACAAGGACATTAAGGTGCTGGAATGGGTCCAGGGAAGGGCAACGAGGCTGGTGAGAGGGCTGGAAAACAGGCGTATGGAGACTGGCTGAGGGAACTGCAGTCGTTTAGTCTGGAGGAGACCGAAAGGTGACCTTATTGCTCTCTACAACTACCTAAAAGGAGGTTGTGGTGAGGCTGGTGTTGGTCTCTTTTCCCAAACTTCTAATGATAGGATGAGAGTGAATAGCTTCAAGTTGTGCCAGGGGAGGTTTTGATTGGATATTGGGAAGAATTTCTTCCCTGAGAGAGTGGTTAGACACTGAACAGGCTGCTCAGGGAGGTGCTGAAGTCAACATCCCTGGTGATGTTCAAAAAACGAGATGTAGCACTTGAGGCTATGGTCTGGTGGT